AGAGAACATCTGCTCAAAAAACAAATACAAAAAATTGTCTTTGGAGAGCTTATATGCCACAGATGCCACATCTTCTAGCTTAAATACTTGGGACGTTTTCTGTAATCCTATAGGGAATCACTCCAGCAATACCACGTTTCCAAAACAAGTGGTATTTTTTTTACCTTAGCTAAAACAGGAAAGATTATTTTTTTAAAATCTCACAAGGAAACAAAGCTTAAAAATAAGTAGGAATTTAGAAATATTATCAGAGAGGATCCTAAAGTTAATTTTATGTGTTTGAAAGAAAAATATTTGCTCAATTATGCCTGGGTATCTTATTAAAATGTATTTGTTCCATGTCATTCCAAAAGAATCTGACGCGTATGATATGTACAATGTATACAGTTGTGACATAAGCATTGGCAACCTCCCATAGATCTCTCTGTTTTCCTTGATATTCATCACCAGACGGTCAAGTTTCCAAAACCACTAACCTCGACTAATTGAAGGACTTCTGCTGTTGTCTGAGAGAATACTATTGACATGTATCTTACCAGTGACTTTAAGTCTTTTCTGAACATCAGTATTAAATGCTTACTGGCTCTATTATTATTGTTATTATTATTAGTTGAGACAAAGTTTCGCTCTTGCCCAGGCTGGAGTGCAGTGGCATGATCTCAGCTCACTGAAACCTCTGCCTCCCAGGTCCACAGGATTCTCCTGCCTCAGCCTCCCAAGTAGCTAGGATTACAGGCGCCTGCCATCACACCCAGCTGTATTTTTAGTAGAGATGGGTTTCAACAATTATTTCTCAAGAGTGAAATGAAGTGAAGTTTCTAATGCCTTTGAGAGAACTATTGCCTGGCAACTCCCTTGTCATTATTTCGATCCTTGTCTTCCCAGCATTTCCCATGGGTTCAGAGCTACATTGGTATTTAGTCTATCACCTGCTCTTAACCTTTCAGTAACTTCAAGCCAAAGGAATCTTACTCTGTCACTAGGACTAGCATTCATCTAAAGGAGTTTTCAAAGCACCAAATGTTGACTTTTCTAAATAAATGTAATCTTGAAGTAGGAGCTCATATATTTTATTTGGTAAATTATCGCCAGCATTATTGGCTATCTTTAATTTCTTTTTTTTTTTTTTAGCACAGCTGTGGTTTAAATACTTGTGTTCCTCCAAAACGTATGTTGAAATTGATCCTCAATGCAATATTAGAAGGTGATTTGGTTATGAGGCCTCCACCCTCATGAATGGGATTAGTGCCCTAATAAAAGGTCCATTTTGCTTTTTTTTTTTTTTTTTTTGGCCATGTGCCATATGAGGACACAGCATTCATCCTCTTGAGAGGACAGAGCAACAAAATGCCATCTTATCAGACATGAATCTGCTGGCACCTTCTGGATGTCCCAGACTTCAGAACTGTGAGAGCTGTGAGAGTCTATTATTTAACTGTGAGTTCCATTATTTCATCAATTGCCCGGTCTGTGGTATTTTGTTATACCAGCAGCAACAGACAAAGACAAGTATTCTTTAAAGGAATTTGTCACAAACATTGATATACTGTTTTATCTCTTATTTTATACTTCCTCCTAAAGATTACAAGTTATTAGAAGTATACTTCATACAATGATCTCAAGGAATTTTAGAAGAATTGATGCCCAAAGTAAATACACTGGGCGGAATAGAAGAACGTGGCTTACTAGTTAGATTGTTCCATGTTAGTCCTATGAAACCATTCCAGTTTTACTAGTGCTCCAATAAGGATATGGCCCTTGGAGCTCACCTCAACATTTATAAAAGATTGGTACCAAGTTAATAATTGTGATCTTTATGGAGCAGAAGATACACACCTACCTGATTCTGCTCTTAAATACAATTGATTTTTAAATTAGACTCTTAGACTATAAATAAGGAACTTCCTCTGTTTCCATTTTGAAAAGAATTCATGTACTATGCCACAGAATTCCAATATTTCTTATTCAACCCTAAATTGTTCATGGGTTTTATATACTACATAAGAATGAGAGAACATTTCTTGGTACATAGCCGTTCGACCTCCTGAACACATTTTCTAATCAAATCCTCATGTTCTGCTCATAGATGTTATTTATATCTGGGTGGGAACAATCTCCCCAAAGTTCAAGTCTGAGGTCACAGGCCTCTGTTGAAACCACAGGGACTGAGGGCCTGGCAGGAGTTGGGGGATGAACGGAGAGAGCTGCAGGCATTTAGGGAGTTGGGCCGCCTTCCTGCCCCTGTGAATTCTGTGTGACATCTGATACCACAGGGAGCTTCTTAAAGAATGAACAATGTTAGTTCCCCATATATACATCAGCTGCTGAGAATTTGCCATGATTCTTGATTGAGAATGAAAACATGGATCCACAAGTGTGTACAACTAATAGTAAAATTGGTTTTCCCAGGGGCTGGAGAAAGGAACACTGTAATTGGGAACATGGCAGGGATGTATAAGATGAGCATTCTATGATGGAAAACATTAAGCAGGGGGTTTTACAGTACGTAAAATCCAGCACAGTTTTTCTTTACGCTCCTTCATGGACAGAGAAATTGTTACATCATCCTCTCTGGGGACAAATCACCCATTGGGTAAAAAGAGCCACACCATGAATGAGGGGCAAGACCAGTTTCATCAACACAGATGTCTTTTTTGAACTAGTGAAAAGGGGAAAATGTCTTTTTTTCTTTTCAATAAAAGTATGCTTTGAGCTCTTTCAGTGGGTCATTTCTTTCTTGTAACTTGTATGGCCTAAATAGCACTGAATACTCAGATTGTGGAAGGAAACATTACCAAATGCAACCTTGATTCTCAAGGAGATATGGGACACTGACTTTGAAATAAAACAAGTGAACAGAGTTCCCTTTCCAGCCCATAGGCAAGAGAGAGGCTTGGTAATGATGTTGGAGTCATTTGCAGGCAGGTGTGAGCCAGCTTCCCAATAGGGAAGTTCCACTTCAGAGACCCCAGCATCACACCTGGAACTAATTGCCCTCCTTTTTGGCAAATTCAGTAACTGGGCCAAAGATTAAATATACCTTGGAGACTGTACAACCACTTCCGTCTCTAAGTGCCGTCAACCCCAGGGCAGGAAGGAGGGATGCTGGGGAGGTGGCCCAGAGAAAGGGCTGCCCCACAGGCCCCGCACCTGCATGAGACACACCAAACACCCGTCAGTATTCAAAGCACCAAAATTAAATGCCTGAGCATTATGTCGATGATTTCTTTCAAGTTGTATTTTTCTGCATTTTTTCCTAGGACCATTCATTTCTAAAGGCATGTAGGTACACAAATACAAAATAATAATTTCAATAACTGCATATTTCAGAGAAAGTTGCATGTAAAATAGAAAAATCATTTCATTAGGAAGGTGAGTTATTTTTAAATAACTTGGGGTATTTTCCATTTTAAAAAGATTACTGTCTTTTCATTTCAATTTCTATGAATAAAATTAATGTGTTTGTTAAAATTATATTAACTCATCATCTTTTCAACCAATATCTCCTCTGTGCCATGTGCTAGTCTTCTTTAAAGACTCTGAGCATATAAACAATACATGAGGAGACCTTGTCCACAAAGAACTTACCGTGTGATGGAGGAGAGAGATTAATCAGGAGACAATTACAATGAAATGTTATAATGACATCACTGGCAAAGGCAAACACAAGGCCCTGTGTGGATCCAGAGAGGGCTGGGGCAGGAAGCAGTGGGAGCTGTGTGTTTTGTTTGTGTTGGAGTCCATGAAGAGTCTCAGCTCAGAATGGCCCCTCCCAGTCCATGCCCAGCTGTCTCTCTAGAATGTCCTGGTTCTTGAACCAGGTGAAGGGGGAGGGGGTTGTGGGAAGCAGGAATTGGGTGGTGAAGGTGAAAGTGGCTGTGTGGGTATGAATAACTGGGAAGAGGGTAGGCAGAACTCTGAGTTTAAGAGAAAAGCTACTACAGATAAGGCTGTAGACATATGGAAGCCAAATTGTCAAGATCTAGGTATGTCATGCAAAAGAGGTTGGGTTTACCCTGAGGGAAAAATGGAAGACTTCGGAATTTTTTAAGTGCAGGCGGTGTCATTAGCTGCTTTGCGTCTTGGAAATACCCTTTGGCTGCCTTGAAAGGATGATTTGGAAGGCGATGAACTTATCTCACAGAAAGCAGGTATGAAGCTGAGCCATGGCTTGAAAGGTGATGTGGGTCTGAATGGGAATGAGGGCAGGGAGACTGGAACTAAATTCAGAGACATGAAATAGGTAGAAACTAACTGAGTCCTACTGAATGGTGGGGAGAGGAAAAAGCCTACGGTAAATCCCCAGTTTCTGGCTTGGTTTACCTGGGGTAGTTTAAAATACACTGTCTGACTTACCCACTCTCACAGAAGGAGATATCATTCATTCATTCATCTATTCAACAAACATGTATTGCGTGTCCTGGGCCCTGTCTGAGACACTGGAGATACAGCACTGAATAAAGAAGCAGAAACCCCTGGCCTCCTGAAGCTCATGTTCTCTCCATAGAGAGAAGAACAATAGCCAAATAGATTAAAATGTGTCAGTTGGTAATAACTGCTAAGGAGAAGGGAGACAAATCCATTTAAAAGGATGGAGGGTAATGGAGGCTTGCTAGGTGGAAAGGGCAGAGTCTTCCAGACGGAGGGAGCTGCTATTGCAAAGGTTTGGGGGCTACTGCAAGGTTCCGTTGGAAAGATTCCTCATCCACACAGGGGCAGTCACTGCCCAAGAGCACACTCTGTCTTCCTTGGAAGGCAGTATTGTATTCCGGTGACAAGGCCTGACTGGGATGGTCCTTCCCACCCTCCTCAAATGCTGTAATTCTCTCTGAAACAAATGTCTGAGACAAGTTAAAATAATTCATTGGGAAGCCATTAGACTAAGGCAACTTCAGTGCCCTGGGTTTCTATGTAAGCAAACCAAAACCCAACTCGGCGGAATTGGTCATATTCTAGGAAAACAAAAGTTAAACTTAACCAATCAGAAACTTCCCACTAACCTCTGACAATGGACTTTCCATTGGAATGATCCAAATAAGGCTACTGCTCCACTGCAACCAATCAAATATTTTATTTGCCTTGCTTCTTCATTCATGCTATAAAAGCTTCCTTCTCATGCTCTTTTAGAGGAGTCCTGAAAAAAAAAAAAAAAACACTTCCAGTTTGGAGTTGCCTCATTCAAGAATTGCTGTCATTCAAACAAACTCCAAAATTTTAATGTGCCAAAGTTTATCTTTCAACAGACCTCAGAGAGCAACTTATCTTCTGCTTGTTGGGCAGGCGAACTCTCAAGTCATTGGAAAAAGCAAGGTAGTTAATTAACACCAGGGAGTGGATCATGAATAAGACTCCATCTACTCTTGCAAAAAATTGTGGTATTGGAAAGCTAGAGCTGCATTTGCAAAATTATGACAGTAAGAGAAATCTGACATACTTGACTACATCTTGTTTCTGACCTCCAAACTGCCCTTGGTCATTCCTGAATGTGAGCCAAGCTAACTTTGGGAGGAAACTTAGTTTACAATTTAACTTAAAAACATAGATGATAATAGCTTCTCCCTAAAACGAATCCCTTTCTTGTTCAGGGACTGAAAACAACCTTTATAAGACTAATGAAAGGCCACAAAATTAGGAATGTCGGAGGGCCCAAATTCTGAGAAGATATAGGTGTACTTTCTCTAATCCCATACTGCTCAGGAGTCATGTAGCCAGAGGTCACAGGATTTGTGTCTTCCCCAATTGCTCCTATAGATAACATCACTATTGTAGAGCCTAAGATTGGATTTTTGAGATGCTTTTCAGACTGACCCCACTTGTACTCAGGACTCAACTGATCCTATGACCCCACCCAGGGGTGTACTCAGCACATGAGACCCATTTTCCACACCTCCATGATGTTATACCAAACCAATCAGCAGCACTCGTTCCTTAGTTTCCTGCCCACCAAGTTGTCCAAAAAACCCTAGCCTCTCAGTTCTTAGAGAGGCTAATCTGAGTAATAACTCCATCTCCTGCACAGCCAGTCTCATGTCAATTAAAGTCTTTCTTTACACAATCCCATGGTCTCTGTGCATTCATTTTGTCTATGCAGCAGGTGGAAAGAATCCATTAGGTGATTATAAAGGCCGGATCAAAAGTGTGCTTAGGACAAAAAGAGGCCTGCCAGAGCATAAAGAATCCCCATGCTGGCAGACCTTACCAGGCTTTAAGAACAAAGAGAGGGGGCAACATTGCCCAGATAAAGAGCAACCCCTTCAGTACCACCCACCACCCTGCAAAGTCACCTTCAGTTGGAAACTAAAGAGGAATGTGTTGAGGGGCCAGCTCCCAGGGGAACAAAGAAGAAACTAAAAAGGGTTAGATGGCAGATGCAAAGGGAACATCTGATGGTCTCTAAGTCTTTGGGCATGGGCAAGCTCACTTGAGAGAGGATGTAAGTAGAAAGACAGCCACAGACAGTACCCAGACAAAAACAGCATGAAAACGGTATGTACAGCTTGAGGAGCTCTGCTCTAGGTTGGCTGAGAGAAAGTAGGGAGAAACTAGGAAAGGCAGGAACAGAGCTTTAAGAAGCCAGGGGTCAACAGAAGCAGTGTTGCTGAGAGGTCAAGTGGGATGAGGCTGACACATGCCCACTGAATTTTCACAAAAAAATGGAAGGAGCAAGAAGTGAGGAATGGATGGTGATTATGCTCTTCTTTCAGGAAACTCATGGAGGCTGGCCAGGGGCAGTGGCTCAAGCCTATAATCCTAGCACTTTGGGAGGCTGAGGTGGGTGGATCCCCTCAGCCCAGGAGTTCAAGACAAGCCTGGGCAACATAGTGAGGCCTTGTCTCTCCAAAACCTTAAAAATTAGCTAGGCATGGTGGTAATGCTACCTGGGAGGCTGAGGTGGGAGGATCGCTTGAGCCCAGGAGGGAGAGGCTACAGTGAGCTGAGACACAGCACTATACTCCAGCTTGGGTGACAGAATGAGACACTGTTTAAAAAAAAAAAAAAAGGAAAGAAAGGAGTTAGAGAGGAGAGCCAGAGGCAAGCCAGCTCTATCTAACTCCTCAAGGTCAAAACCAGTGGTGAGGGAGGGAGACAGGATAGAAATACTAGACCGTCTTGGGAAACTGAAGTACCTCCCAGGGTATCTCAGTTGCCATGGGGCAGCCAGAATAGAGAAAATACTCAGCCCATCTTCCATCCTCAGGGATCCAGACTGATGCAGGAGTCGCCATCTTGCATATTGGTGGGTGCTACTGCAGAGGAAAGAGGATTCTGGAGGATCGTGCCCAGACATTTGGATGTTTAGCTTGACTCATCTAATTTTGGTGATTAGTCAATAAATCACATGGCCTCAGCCACCCATAATGGGACCCAGGAGGTAATCCAGAGATAGTTGGTTAGCAGTGCTAAAGATTACCACAGTTTCCATGGTAAGGGGAGTACATGTGCCAGCCAGAGGATTGGGCAGCTTAGGGAGATGGCACAGCTAGGAACTAGATGAGGACAGAGGTGAGCGTCAGGGTCAACGATGCTGTGAGCCAAGGGAGCTGAGGCTGCAGGGGTGCCAGCGGAGGTGCAAGGAGAGATGCACCAACACCACCAGCTCCAGACACTTCAGCAGAGGGTGTAGAGAGCTGAGGCCCACACCACAGCCTGGGTGGGACAAGATGGCCCAGAAACAGTCAAACAGTCCACAAAGAATGAAGGGGGACACAGGCATGAGACCATCTGCCCTGGGCTAGGAAAGCCACTGGGAAGGTAGACTGAATTGAAAGAATTAAATTCAAAATTGACCACTTTTAAAACTGTAAGTGACTAAGTTATCCGGAAGTGGCAAAAAATAAAAAATAGCCATCAGAGGAAAAAGGGGGAATTGTGAGAAATCCTACGGCTATGGAGTAGTCAATAAAGAGAGACTGCACCTCTAAGCACTGACCAGGACTCTTCTGCTATGATGGGAAGGAGGGGACAGAGATTAGCAGCACCATCATTATCAGATCCTACACATGCAAAAGGCCTCTATTTTCTTTCTGAATTGAAGAGGCAAGGTCACCTGAGACTCTGCTCTGAAAGTCCAAACACACGGAAATGTGATAGTGAACCAAGAGCCATAAACTAACCCTAAGTGATCTCTACATCAACGGGAACCAACATTAGTGGGTACCTGTATCCCCAAGGACAGGCATGCAGTGTCCCAGGCCTTAACAGAATGGAGCACAAACTCTTGCTCAGACAGGACAAACTGCTTCAGAGATGGTCATGCATTCCTGGAGAGAAGTCAAAACATGGACCCTTCCTCAGAGAGGGGCAGAAGGAGGCAGCAAGGATTCCCTTCACATGGCTTTGACATCTGCAGTGAGGTCACATTGGTTTCCTGCATGTATCTGAAGTTGATGAATGAGGAGTGAACAGATACTGGAATCAGGCTGAGGTTCAAGTCTTGGCTCTTCCAGCTACCACCACATTACAACTGTTCTGAGTCAGTTTTCCCCCCTATAAAATGGGGAGAAGTGAGTCTCCCTGGAATGTTTGAACGAGGACCAAATGAGATGATTCATGGAGACTCCCTGGCACAGAGGAAACATTTGTGGACATGGGAAGCACTTGTAAAATATGAGTTCCCATGCCCATTTTTTGTCCACTGGTGACCTATCTCGACGTGCTGAGAGTCTACACCCTGACTTCATGATATAAATTAATTTTTAGCAGTCCCAGTAAATCATTTGGAAAATCAAATCCAAAGGCATGTTGAACATGGCAGAAGTATAAATGTCATGTAATGAACTGTATAGCTACCTTGAGCTTTGACCATCCCATCCTACCCACCCCCATCAAACCTGTTCTGTGGCATCATATGACAACATGGGAGTAAAAGGCTGACAAGGGATTTTCTTTTGGAGCTCTGATCACTGCCCCTCAATCCAACAAGGAAACAAATTTTTTTTTTTTTTAATATATAGAGACAGAGTCTTACTCTGTTGCCCAGGCTGAAGTGCAGTGGCGCTATTATAGCTTACTGTAATCTGGAACTCCTGCACTCAAGCAATCCTCCTGCCTTTGCCTCCCAAGTAGCTGGGACTACAGGTATGCGCCACTATGCCTGGTTAATTTATAAAAAGTATTTGTTGATATGAGGTCTCATTATGTTACTCAGACTGTCTTGAACTCCTGGCCTCAAGTGATCTTCCCACTTTGGCCTCCCAAATCATTCGGATTACAGGTGTGAACCACCATGCCTGGCCAACAAAATTTTATTGAGTGACTAGTAGTCGGTAGTAGGAGATGTTTCTGCATTAGGCATTATATATAAGAAACTGAGTGACATAGAAAAAAATATTAATTTGCTAAAAGTAATATTCTGGCTATGCATATTATGTATATTAATTTGCTAAAAGCAACATTCTGGTTATGTATATTATTCTCGTTATGTATTCTAGTGATACATAACAAACTTCCCAACACTTAGTTTCTTAAAACAATTTAGTTTTCTTTCTCATAGCTGTAGGGTTGAGGGACTCAGTTGGGAGGTTCTCACCTCTGGTGTCTCATAGATTCAGGCTGGGGCTGGAGTCACCTGATGGGTAGGTACCCGGACAGTGAATGCCTAGACCAGCTGATAACTAGGTGAGCATACCCTGATGGGGCCTCTCCTTTCTCAGGGAAAATGGTGGAATTATTTTGCTTAAAGCATGGGAATGCATTTCCCTAGAGGGTAACATTAGGAGATTTATAATAATCCCAACACTTAACCTGAAAGGAAGGGGGGTATGGATCGAGGACAGGACACAGCCTCCAGATGAGGTTGCCTCCAGTGGAGGCAGCAGGTCATAGCCATTAAGAAGATGGTCTTTGGAGATGAAGACCTTAGCGTCCATGGGCCACTTTGATACTCAGGCTATGCAGCCTTGGGGCAGGTCCTCATCCTTTCTGAACTTCACTTTCTCATCTCCAAAATGGGGCTAATAATGCCTACCTTGCCGGGTATTTGCGAATTCTGAATAAGGTAATAGAGTGCAACGCTGTGTGTTTCGATGGTGCTTGTCAATTGTTCGATGTTGTCAGAAGGCAGCATTTTAGGGGCTGAGCCTAGATGCAGCCCAAGAAATGAGAAATCCCAGTGCTAAGAAACTCGGTTGATTCTAGGATCTCCGGCAATGGCTAGAATCAGACATTCCCTGTACTATTTTAAGCCAAGACAGAAAAATATACTTTTGATGAGTAAACTTGGTTTTGAATACTTGTTTCTACCTGCATCAATGTCCTTGTAGAGTGTCTCCCCCCCAAAAAAAAACTCTGGCTATGGCTTTTTCTGGTGCCTTGTACATGGGGGGATTTTGTTGTTGATGATGTTTTGTTTTGTTTTACAGTGGTTGAAGCTTCTCTTCATTCTTGCGTGTTTGGCTCCAGGGAAAAAGGAAGCTCAGATCACAGCATGCTGCAAGTGGGTGTGGTCTGGGAATGCCCACTGCTGGTCCTTTGTACACAGCACCTCTCCCAGAAACTGTCAGCTCTCTTGGTGACAGCTAAATACATGCTTTAGACGTGTTAAAAATCAAGCCTGCCAGGCGGGCTCAGATTTCGCCCTACTGAACCACCTTCTGCGTCGGTCCTTAGGAAGAGGGCAACAACCTCAAATGTGGATTAAGTTGCTTCCAGGTAGAATTACAGGACAAGAGGCCTGGCTGGGGAAATGTTCTTATGATTTAAGGGTATTAGAGAGGACCTACTGCTTGAGTGCTTTAAGAAATAAAGAAATTGGCAAGTGCTTTGCTTTTTACTTTTAAAAAATATTTGTGAGGCCTTAAGAACTGTTCAAAAACTAGAAAGGCAGCAACAATTTATGTCAATGTTAATGCTGGGGGCGAGCCCTCCACCCAAGTGACAGGAAAGCATCCAGAACTAATTTGAGTCCCCAGGCAGATTTAGAAAATTATTATGCCTCAACAGTGGGTAGAGCTGAATCTATCTGCCTTTGGCCCACTTTGGAAGATGATCTCTTCCCACTGCAAATAAACAAATGATGGAAAATGCAGGCTAGAGTTGGAGAGAGCCTGACTAGGTAATTTTAGCCATTGACACAGAGAATTTTTCTACTCACCAAGATCAAGGCTAAACTTGGAGTGGGCAGAGTTCCTCAGTGTCTTCTGTGGTCAAATATGCAGCCTGGCGATGAATCAGGAGAGGAATGAGCACAGGATGCATCCTCTTCCGCCAGGACACAGCTCGGCCATGCGCGTCACAGCAGGGTCTGTTTGCTTATTTTTCCTCTATGGAAAGGGCTTTAAAAAAAAAAGGGCCAGCAAAAATCCTTGGCCAAATTTGGACTATGAGGTCAAGGAGTAAATTCATCAGCAAGCTTAAGTGCAAATAGACATTGAGGCAATTAATTACTCTGAAATAAGATAAAGTGAATATCAAAGAATTTAACAAATGTTTCTTGAAGCTCTATGTATTCAGCTGTTATTTCTAAATCTATCTTATTTAATCATATATAGATTAAAATGCACTTCCCAAGGTAATAACCCAATAATGTGAAAACTAAACAAAATTTAGGCAGCACTAGAAGAATAAGAACTAGAAAGACGAAGGTAATACTATTGCTCCACCTGTGCTGTGGGTTCCAAACTCTACATTTTAAGAGGGAGTAGGGATGACCTGGGGCCTGTTCAAAGGAGAGAAACCAGGGTGATAGAAAGATGCAAAACCCTGTCATTTAGAGACTGTTCACGGACTAGGATTGCTTTGTCGGGGTGGGGAGGGATCAAGGGGCAAAGGGGCATGATATCCTTTTTAAAAAAATGTAAAAGCAATGATGTGATTTTAAATTTGTTGGTATAACAGTTGCAGAACTAAGTTACTATGGAATGGAGTGCCTCAGCGGTAGTAAGTTCCCCTTCACAGGAAGGGCAGATGGTCCATTGACAGTGGCATGGTAGACATATTTGAGCATTGGATGAAATTGGATTGGGATGAGAGAGACTGAGAAACAGGATGGTGCAATGGCTACACCAAGAGCTCAGCTCCAGAGGTAGACACACTTGAGGGCCTTGCCCGCTCATTTTCCCTGACTCTAAACACTCTTCTTAACTTGTCTGAGCTTCAGTTGCTTCACCAGGAAATGGAGGTAACAGTGTCTGTCTTGTAAAGCTGTTTTGAGAAATAGATGCATTACTCCATATAGAGAGCTTCACGTTTTGCTTGGCTTGTAGTGTCTAATACATGACATCTGTTCTTGCCATTAATTATAAGCTTTATGGTTTTTATTACCCTGATAGTCAAGTGTAAACTTTTCCAAATTCTCTAGATTCAAGGAACCTAAGGGACAACACTTATGTTTCTAACCACAAGGTGGCAGACAGATTGTCACCTTAACTGTTATACTCTGGGACGGAGCTTGGAGATAAGCGATTAAAAGCAGTAACAGGATGAAACGGGAAAGAGAAATGAATCTGGACCTAGTGGGGCCCTAGTCGGTCCCTGGTGAGAGCTGTGAAATCGGGCCATGGATCCATGGATTTAGAGATTTTACTGTGCTTTGACTTTTATATAATTACTTTTTTTGGTTTGGCTTTTATGGGAATAAAATATCTTTTGCATAAATAAGAGTTTTCCTGAAAGTTGATGCTTATGGTGACTTTACTCCATGATAGCAAGACAAGCGGAAAAAGATGGCTAGAAAATGGGAGTGTGTGTTTATTGTCATGCAAGGAAGGCACCAGACATAAATATGGCAACACCCTTCCCACTCATCCACAGCTGCCTCAGGCTCAGGCTCACATCTACGAGCATGAAGATATAACCATCTGCCTTCCCGGTGAAGGGGAGCTTACTACCACTGAGGCACTCCATTCCATAGTAACTTAGCTCTGCAACTGTTATACCAACAAATTTAAAATCACATCATTGCTTTTACATTTTTTTAAAAAGGATATCATGCCCCTTTGCCCCTTGATCCCTCCCCACCCCGACAAAGCAATCCTAGTCCGTGAACAGTCTCTAAATGACAGGGTTTTGCATCTTTCTATCACCCTGGTTTCTCTCCTTTGAACAGGCCCCAGGTCATCCCTACTGCCTCTTAAAATGTGAGTTCCTTCTTGCCTACTTTTTTCCCAAGCTTACCCTCTCCAGGCCCTAGGAAAAGAAATATAAAAGGATAACTTTCCCCTGGGCAAGGATGGACATGGGACCAGATGAGTGGGTTCTAGTCTCACTTTGGCTACTTAAAGAGATGTTTTGGTTTGGACAAGTCAGTCAGTCAGTGTTCTCGCTTCCGTGGTGAAGGGTATAACCTGGTCCTGATCCATCTGTAAGAGGTTCTTTCATCCTAATAATCGCTCCCTCTGTAAAGCAGAGAGGAAGACCTGCCTCTGACGCCTAGCATCGAATCTTAGCTACCTGAATCATAAGCCACAATTCACACAAAAGCACCCTGATGCATAGAATGTTAGAAGAACTGGAAGAAACTTCGGAAATTAGTCCTGCCCTTTTGCTTTATAGATGAAAAAACCGATAAGGGAATTTTATCAAGGACAGACAGTTAATTTAAGATTAGGCCAGGACTAGGGCTCAAGCCCTCAGAAATTCTAAGAATCATTCCCAAACAAGTACATACACACATCCCACGCCCCACACATAGTAACATTTTGAAGAGCACTGTTAAACATAATTTAGATTCCATAAAATTCATCCATTTGAATTATGCAATTTAATAATTTTTAGCGAATTGACAGAGTTGTGAAACTATCTCCAAAATCCAATTTTAGCATATTTTTATTCCCCTACTATCTGCCTTTATAGATTTACTTTTCTCAAGACATTTACATAAATAGAATCATGCAATATGTAGTCTTTCCCACAATTTCAGAGGAAAAAGCAGTCAGTCTTTAACCAATAAGTTATATGATGCTACTTACAGATTTTTCATGGAATTCCTCTATCAGGTTGAGAAAATTATTTTCCGTTTCCAGTTTACTAAAAGAATTTATCATGAATGAGGAATAGATTTTTGACAAATGTTTCTGTGCATCTATTGAGATGATCATGTGATTTTGTCCCTTATTCATATTATTATATTAATATGACATTACATTAATTGATTTTTAGATAGTAAATCAACCTTCTATTACTAGGGGAAATCCCACTTTGCCAAGGTGTATAATCATTTCATATGTTGCTGGATTCATTTTGCTAATATCTTGCTAAAGAATTTTGCATCTACAACCATGAGGAACATTGGTCTGTAGTTTTATTTTCTTGTGATACCTTTGTCTGGCTTTGTATAAGGGTAAAACTGGTCTCATGGAATTTGTCCATAAATGTTCCCTCTTATAGTTTGTGGAAATGTTTTTTAAAAAATTGGTGTTTTACAGAATTCACCAGTGAAGACATCTGGGCCTATGCTTTTCTTTGAGGGAAGATTTTTCCATTATTGTTAATTTTTTTTACTTGTTATGAGTCTATTTTCTATTTCTTCCTTAGTCAGTTTCATTAATTTGTATCATGCAATGAACTATTTCATCTAAATTGACTAATTTGTTAGCTGAAAATTGTTCATCATGTGCCTTACAATCCTCTTAATTTCTGTGAGATTAGTAATGATGTCTCCTTTTTCATTTTCATTCTTTCTTTTTTCCTGTTTTTTTTGGTCAATTTAGATCAGGTTTCTCAACCTCTTTACTATTGATATTTGGGCACAATAATTTTAACATGGAGGGGTTGTCATGCATTGTAGAATATTTAGGAGCATCTCTGACCTCTACCCACGAGTTGTCAGTCACACACACACACACAAAGTATTACAATTAAAATTTCCTCGAGACATTGACAAAATACCCCTTGGGGGACAAAATCACCCCTGGCTGAGAACTACTGGTCTATATCAGATTTTAATTTTTTTGGTCTTTTCAAATAATCAACTTTGGTTTTCCTTGATTTTATCAAATTTTCTGTTTTCAATTTCCTTAGTATCTGCTCTAATCTTTATTAAATCCTACACTCTACTTGCTTTGGTCTTAATTTACCTTTTTTTTCCAGTTTCTTAAGGTGGAAGCTTTGGTTATTAATTTGGGGTATGCAAGGTCATTTTAAGACAAATTTTATTTTGGACAACTTGGATTTTAGAAAACCTAACCTCTTAGCTAGATTGAAATGTTTTTTGTTAAAAACTAGAAAGTAGTAAAGAAAAGCTTTTCCCCAGCACTCAATCTTACCCTCTCTAAACAAAACACTATGTAAAAGAAATAGCCATGCTGCCCTTCTAGCCTGCTCTTACCTCTTAACCTGGTCTTCCTTAAATTGCACGAATCTTCAGCCTCTTCTTGAAGCTTCCTTCCCACCTCCAGACTACATCTGGATTTATGGTTCCTCTTTTCATTCACTCACACTGATAGATTAGCTAATCTGATTGAGCAACTGTTACTGGCAATATAAGAGAATATTTTGACTTTATAACTATGCAATCTATCCAGGTAACAAAATTTCTTTTAGGAAAATTAGCCTTTTTTTTTTCTTTTTTCTTTTTTTTTTTTTGAGATGGAGTCTTGCTCTGTTGCCAGGCTGGAGTGCAGTGGTGCAATATTGGCTCACTGCAACCTCCGCCTTCCGGGTTCAAATGATTCTCCTGCCTCAGCCTCCTGAGTAGCTGGGATTACAGGCACGTACCACCACATCCAGATAATTTTGTATTTTTAGTAGAGATGGGGTTTAGTAGAGACGGATGGTCTTGATCTCTTGACCTCGTGATCCGCCTACCTCAACCTCCCAAAGTGCTGGGATTATAGGCATGAGCCACTGCGCCCAGCCAGAAACTTAGACTTTAAAACAAAGACATTTTCAAATCATGGAAGGACAGAGAAAATATAGCTGAACACACCAGAAAGGAAAACTTAATTTGGTCGGGCTGAGATCAAACCCCATTCCATGAGCCAGTGCTAAAGCTGGGATGAGACTACCCCTGGGAGTTAAAGGGAGAGATTCCTTAAGACTCCTTGGTTAGCATTAGAGCTGACCCATGGAAACCAAATTTAGTGCGTGAGCACCAAGATTATCAGGGGCAGAGCTGACAACAGGAGACTGGACAAAAATGAGGAGCAGGGCAAAATATGAGCAACATAAAAAGGAAAGAGGGTCTTGATATTTCCAGTTAGTCTGCAGGTTACCTTTCTGGGTTCACCAGGCATCTTGGGTGTGTCAATGATCTGGTGGCCTTATTAATTACAGGAAATCTGGCCATCAGCATCAGCCTGTTCTGCTTGTGTGCTGCGCACAGGGCACAGGTGCTGTGCCCTGTCTGCCTGTGAGGCACATGTATGCTCTAAACGGCCTAGCAAGAGGAAGGCAGGTCAGCTCCACACACCCTTCCTTGATTCCAGTCCCGCTCTCCATCTCTATCCTTGTCCCCGTCCCTTTACCAGTCTCAATTCACCTTCTATCCTCCTTCACCCTTTAGTTCCTCTCCCTCTGCTCAGACCTGGCTTCTCTCACATATTACATTACCCAGGGTTATAAGCAGAATTAATAAGTTCAGGGCTGTAAGAAGTATTGTTTTCCCTCCTCACTCTCTGCTTCTTACACAACACCAGTTCTTCCTATTTCAGGACAGTCTGGGTGTGGTACACTGGTGTTTACAGTACAAGAACATATTGCAGCATTCCATAGCCACGCAACTGGGAAAATGCTGAAATTGGAAAACTTGGGCTTGAGCTGAGATCCTGTGGCTACATTGCTCTAAGCCATGAAGCATGTGAATCAGTGAGAGAACGAGAAAGTTAAAGGGGGAAAGTTAGCCGAAAGAGGTTTTCTAAAAAGAGGGAAAAGGGAACCTACACGGTGCTACCTGCATGTGATAGCTTTACATGCACAGTCCTATTCACTACATAGCGATGGTTCAGAGTGAACAATGGACCACATTCATGACGGTGGTCCCGTAAGATTATGACAGAGTCGAGAAATTCCTTTCATTTACTGACGTCATAGGTGTATGACATATTGCTACAATGCAATGGATTACTCACGTTTGTGGTGACACTGGTGTAAACAAATCTACACTACCAGTCATAGAAGTATAGCACATACAATTATGTACAGTAAATAACAATAAACAACTATGGTATTAGTTTATGTATTTCCTATACTATACTATTGATTGATATTTTGGAATAAAATCCTTCTACTCATTTTTTTTTTTAAAAAAGGTCAACTTTAAAACAGTCCCAGGCAGGTCCTTCAGTGGGTATTCCAGAAGAAGGCATTGTCTACCTAGGAGTGACAGCTCTGCACATGTTACTGACCGTGGAGACCTTCAGTGGGACAAGATGTAAAGCTGGAAGACAGTGACACTGATGACCCTGACTCTGTGTGGACCTAGGTTAATTGTGTGTTTATGTCTTAGTTTTCAACAAAAAAGTCTAAAAAGCAGGAAAAAAAATAAAGAAAATAAAGAAAGAAAATAGTTTTGTACAGCTGGACAATGTGTTTTAAACTAAGTGTTTTTATAAAAGAGTCCAAAAGTTTTAAAAAATTTAAAAGTTTATAAAGAATGAAAGGTTGTAATAAGCTAAAGTTAATTTATTATTGAAGAAAGAAAAGCTTTTAAAATAAATTTGTTGTAGCCTAAGGATACAATGTTTATAAAGTCTACTATTGTGTACAGTAATGTCCTAGGCCTTCACATTCACTCACTACTCACTCACTGACTCACCCAGAGCGACTCCAGTCTCGTAAGCTTGATTCATGGTAGTACCCTATACAGATGTACCATTTTTTATCTTTCATATATTTTTACCGTACCTTTTCAA